GCCGCACCACCCTCCACCGGTTTACACTTCCACCGTCATCTATCCTCAAAGGTAAAGTGCAAATAAAATTACATTTTTTTTTTATCAATTATTATTCTATTATGGTTATTTATACATTTACAACTACAAAATGCATTTTTCAGTGTTTTCCTTACTATAGTTATTTTTTTTTTTTAATGTACAACTTAGCTTTAATTTGAGTGTGTTTTTCGTGTTGGAATGAATTATTTGGTTTTACATGTAATCGTATGGGGAAAAATGATTCACCTTACAACATTTTCATGATACAATCTCAGTTTCGGAACGGATTAATTTCGTATCATGAGGTACCACTGTATGTAAAGTATTTATTAATAAATACCTCATTTATTGTTTAAATAAAGTGAATTAAGAACAAATTCATTTAGAAAGCTACTTTAGATATTTAATTTATTATTAATTAATAATGGTGAGTGAGAAAGATTTTGTACTCAGATATCCAACTTTTTATTACTTAGATACTTGAAGTAATTTGGATAAAAGGTATTTGTACCTGAAATATCCAAATATGTGACTTTTAAAAATTTTTCAAATATACTGTATTTAGCATATTTAGATATTTTAGTAACAAAAATTAGTAAAAAGTACAGTTATATTAATTTATTAATAACACAAATGATCTATTTCATACAACTTTTTTAATTAAGTATACAGAAATTGTCTTTTCTTTTGATTATGTTCAATAATTGAGTATAAAAGCTAATAGCAAGTTTAATAACTGCTTAAAATACTCAGTAGTATTTTATGAATTTGTTGAAAATGATATATAAAATGCAATAATAAAATATATTGCAAAACCTATCATCTAATAATTAATCACCTTTGTAGTTATTATAATAATAAGTTTGAGGAAAAATTTATAAAATTCAGTACCATTTTGTTTTTGATATGCTTTTAAAACATGGAGCATACATATCCTGTATATTTCAAACAATGTTGTGAGAAAAAGGTCCAGAAATCAATACTTACTGCATTTACTTGAATCTAAGGTGCACCTTAATTTCTACATGCTCACCCACAGATGTTTTGTAATAGACAACTTGAGACAAATTTATGTCAATAAAATTAGGATTTATTGCAAGTGAAGTAAGTTATATCACTGTGTATCAAAATTGGAAGAATTTTGATACACAGTGATATAACTTTGATACACACTGAATTAACACTAATGTTGTTTAATCACATTTTTGAGTATTAGTTTTAGTTGTCATATATGTGTAGTTTTTGTTTTAGTAAACTAAAACTATGCTAATCAACACTGGATTCAATGTTTACATCTTCCCATATGCTAACATATCAGTGCTGTTTAAAGAATTGGAAATGCAGCATTTCTTGAAACAAATTGCATTAGAAGGTTGTGCAGCATTCTTTTCCAGAGTGCTGAGTTTCAACTAGTGAGATTGAGTTGAGTTAACCACTAAAATATTTCCTAATACTATTGATCTAGTAAAATCATTAAATAACATAATGAAATTAGTGATAGAGAAACAAGATGCATAGCACTAGAGATTGTGAATTATGATGTATCACATTGAATCTAAGATGAACTCTATTTTCAGAGATACTAAAACTGAAAAAAATGCATCTTACATTTGAATAAATACAGTAAACTAATGGTTTCCTTAATGTAGTGTAGTTTCTTCTTGATATTTATAAAATTTTGATGAATCTAGTTTCAATATCTTTGATATGTACTGATTTGTAATGGTTTGATTTTATTTAGCTGCCTCCAGATTTAGATAAAATGTCAGAAGAAGAAAAGCGGAAATATATGAATAAACAGAAACCAAAGGAGAAAGTTGTTCTAGATAGCGAAATAGATGATACTTTTGATGTAAACCAATATAGTCATTTATGGAAGAAGAAATAAGTGAAAAATGTTTAAATAAATAATCACATCTTGTACAATAATCATTTTTTTCTTTGTAGATATTTATTTGGTGCTAAATAAAGTTATTTGTATATAATATAATGTTTTTAAAAATATTTTATTTAATATATAAAAAAAATATAAATTATGTGACTAGAATTTTTAACAGTTTGATTATAATAGTTGTATCACAACATTTGTTGATTAATTGATGTATATATTAAGATAGAGCAAAGTTTAACTCTATATTATGCACTACAGGGATGTGCAGTGACAATTTCATATTAGTGAAAAATTTTGATTATTTGGAAGTTAATACTGAAAGACTGATATGGCAGGTTAATCACAATTTGTCTCTCTCCACTTTATTTCATCATATAAATTAGAATATAGTCTCTCCAATTCTTCATTCAATTTGTGTCTACGATGTCTGGAATGATGTCTTCTAAGGATGTGACTAGGCGAAGGAATATTGCTTAAATCTATCATGCTTAAATAAATATTTGAATGTAAATAAAAAAATATGGAGTGTTAGTATATTGATTGCAAATATTAACAATTTACCTTCTGCTTTCCAGTGAATACCTATCTGACCCTGAAATTCTTCTTGGATAAAGCTGGAATGATAATCCAAAATTTTAATTTACATTTTATATCAGAAAACAATTATTTTTACTCTCATAAAACTTGATTAAAATACAAAATATTTTGTTACTAATATTGATAGTTATTCTTATATTATTTACAATGTCACTGCTGTTGTTATTTATATAGTAACTTAATTACAATCAATTCCAAATTAGAGAATTTAACTTTGTTATAAATTATTTTAAATATAAAATATGAAGAATAAAAATAAAATGATAATACAGTATTCTCACTGATATGGCCATGCACATAAGAATGCCAGATTACTGAATGTGTATAGGCAAATCAGTCAGTCAGTGATTAACATAACCTGTATTTTTTGGAGGCAAGTGAGCAAATAATACAGTATGCCAAAATGCAATACTATGCACAGAAACTCAAGTAAACAAGATATATAATATGAATAAAATTTTCGTGAAAAAAGAAGTACATTAGAGTGTATGCTGAATAATTGAAAAGCCAGATTAGCAATAGTCTACTGTATATACTTTTCAGAAGCTGAAACCCTTTTAACAATGAGCAACACAACACCTGTAAATTTTCCAGTAAAAAATCCATAATGGAACATAATTTTGCTTCTTTTAGAGGACTGTCTCAAGTTTTCAAAACTATTCCAAAATCAAATGGTCTACTGAGTGTCCCAAATTGAAACATTCAAATGCTACATGACTTTATTTAAAAATTTATAAACAAAACATTATATATAGAATAAATTAGACATTGAAATATCTTCCTTATAATCCTTGCAAACTATGAACAAAAACAGAAGCTGTGGAGATCTATAACGAAACTTGAAGGTGAATGCATTAACAACATAAAGCAAAACCTTGTCACTAGCTTGTCAGTCTACTTAACAACCCTCTACAAACACAACCCCAAAACCATACAAGCAACTAATTAACAATGCACATATAATTTTGTTGCATACAACATTGATAAGTTCAGTTTTGTATTATTTACTGTATTTCATGTTATATTTATTCTATACATAATGTTTTGTTTGTAAATTTTTAAATGACATCATGTAGCATTTCAATGTTCCAGTTTGAAACACACAGTAGAACATTCAATTCTGAAATACTGTAGTTTTAAAAACCTGATGCAAGCCCCTAACAGGATGAAAACATTTATTCCATTAAAGATTTTTTGCTGGAAAACACACAGAAGGTGTTGTGTTGCTTACTGTACATACCCCATCATCTGTATTTGGATAATTATAAAATAGATTATCCTCTCATTTCAGTTGTGTGTAATATAGGGACGTGCAGTGACATTTGATGATAGGGAAGCTATGCCAGCCCTGGATAGAATCATTGGAAGTGTTATATGATATTTTGGTGTGTAGCATCCATGAGCTAAACTGCATGAGGTGCTCTATAAAGTGCATGTGCAAATGTCTGCAATCTGGCTGCTTTACATGATTCAAACATTTTCTCTGTGGAAGCTGTCCCATATTTGACAATATAGCACTTCCATTGGGAATATGCATATACAAATTTATATTCAAATATACAATAGCAATCTTATAATTTTTTCCACATTGTACTATAGAAATTTGAAAATTACAAATTTCTATAGTACATGTGGAAAAAATTTCTATACAATTATTTCTAATGTTTCTATACAATATATTTCTAATGTTTCTATACAAAACATTATGTATAGAATAAATATAACATGAAATACAGTAAATAACATAATGCAGTTATAATAAAACATTAATTAATTCAAAGTATGTTAAAATATGAAAATAATCACACGATATGTATTTATATTTTAGAAAATACAGGGAAGAGGCACTTCCACAGCTTCCATAGATGGCACACCACTGTTATAATAAATATAATTGCAAATACAGCATACATTTGGTATTTAACTCATGCTATAATAAGTCCTGAATTAAAATAACTTACCAAATCATATTTATATACACTCATGCAAAACTTAAGGATAATATGCATTTACATAGAAAACATGTTGGGAAACAGTGATAAGTGCATATAGTGTTTCCTAGTTCAAGTCTTTGACTGTGTGTCACACTTGATCCATGAACCTACTGCTTGATGGCTTTAAACACTTGTTGTAGTCAGATACGTGCCACACACGGTTTCAACACAGCAATAGTTGTGTTCGTTGCATCACAGATTGAATATACATAGCAGTGTTGTTGGCCATACTGATAGTGCACATGTAAGAGAATGGTGCAGAGACACCATTTGGATGATTTTATGCATGGACAAATCATTAGACAACTGGAGAGCGGTCAGACCCAAATGGAAGTGTTGCGTGCATTGAGTGTCCACCAAAATGTCATCTCCAGACCCATCTCAAGGGTCTGGCAATGATTCCAGCAGGGTGAAAATTAAGGATGCACCGATAAGAAAAATGGCCGATTACCGATTAATCAGCCATGCATTATCGGCCGATATCGATTAATTGGCCGATTAGTGTTTATAATTTATTACATTAATAGTGTGAGATCCTGGAGTTAATTATACAGTTAATTATAATGTGGAAAAAACCCATTTTTCTCCACCTGGTATCTCCATCTCCCTCAGGTCAGGTAAACAAGAGACGATCGAGTATCCTCGCAAAATCAACAATCTCTTCCTTTGTTTCTAAAATAAATCTCACCATTGTTTAAAAACCATTGTCTAAAATAAATCTCGACATTGTTTAAAAAGCTGAAGTGTTTCTGTGTTTTACAGAAACAAAATATATTTCTTTAACCACTGATATTTGGACAGCAACTACAAACAATTCTCCTTTTTTTAAGTGTAAAAGCCCACTGGTTGAATGATGATTTTCAGCAGGAAAGAGCTGTTTTGCAAATTGTTTCTTTTGAAGGTTCCCACACAGCTACACGAATCAGTGAACAGTTAAAAATTGTTCTTGAACAGTATAAGTGGACAAGTAATAAGATATTCTTAATACTAAGAGATTCTGCAGCAAATCTGATAGCTGGAATTAGGAATTGCAACTTAGAAGCATTATCATGCTTTATACATACACTGCAGCTGACACTAAACGAATGCATATTTTCTGAACAAGATGTGAAAACTATAATCACAGTTAATAGAAATATTGTCACACATGTTAATCATTTTGCTGTAGCTATAATCAAATTAGAAGATTTGCAAGAAAAGTTAGGTTTTCAGAAAAACAAATTAATTCAAGATGTTCCATTCCTACTCGCTGGAATTCTACATACTACATGTTGGAACAGCAAAAGGCCCTTGTCACATATGCTATAGATAATAAAATTCCTACATTGAGCCCATATCAGTGGTCTCTCATTGAAAAAATTGTTCTACTTGTAAAACCATTCGAAGAAATTACTGTGGAAAGCCAGCAAACGTGAAGCCACTTCATCAATAATTCCCACAATAAAGACTGAAATTATTCTTATCAAAAGCAAAGATCAGTAGTTCCTTTAGTGACATTAATACCACAACAGAAGAACTAGAAAATTCAATAATAAAAAAAATTTACAGCATATATAGAAAACAAATCTTTATGCTTGTCATTTTTATTAGATTCAAAATGAAATTTCAAAAAGAGGATATGGTAAAGGAAATAAAAACATGGGCAATTGATAGCTTAGAAGATGTTGATAATTCAAAATCTCAATAAGAATTAAATTCTGAAGCTTCTACTTCTGGAGGTGATCAAGATGGAGGTGAATCTCTAAGTTTTTCTGATTTATTTGATGAATTAGCTTCTGGTAAACAAAAGAATGAAGAATAGCACATTTATAAAAAGAAAGAAAAACAACGAAAGAGACGTACAAATGTTTCGATCAAGAATAAGAAACATGCAGTGTGTAGTGTATTTGTAATCCAAAAAGATGATTGGTAGACGAACGAAGATGATTGGCCTCCATTGTTGTCCGCATGTTGTCAAATGGCTCCACCATTTGACAACATGCAATCTGCCTGGCAAGCTCATAGAAGCACTGGTCCAAGAATGGGAAGCCATACTTGCAGTGGGGGGTGATCACACACACTATTAATGTCCCTGTGCCGCACCTTGTTTCCTGGACTAACGCATGGGTACGTTCTGTGATTTTCACACCATTCTCAATTGTCGTACATGTTGCTCACTCTGTACCTTTTCTCACACTGTTTGCAGTTTGATACCATTTGCAATGCAACCTGCAATCCATATATGGGAAATTCTCCTTGTTTTTCCTGTCATAAATTACTTACACCACATTATCCTTTTTGCACATGAATGTACTAGAGTGTTTTGATTTTAATCAAGTTGAAACAATATATGTGTATTGTCATTCTGTTTCTTGGAAAGTACTACACAAATCTCAAATTATTCAGCTGCTTGCTTCTTTTCTACATACTATGTAATGACAACCTACATTATATCAGAGCATACTCATATAGATTATATTTTTTGATTAAAGTGATGAGCAAAAAATTTAGAAATATTAATAGAAACCATAAATAATTTAAATATTTTTAGAAGTATACATATAAAATGTATTATCATTAAAATTAATCAATTAAAATAAAATTACCTGATCATTTGATCTTCTAAGTGCTGTTATTCTTTTCATTTCATTATTACTATCATATGAAGCATCATCTACAAAATCAATTTTAGTGTTAAACATTTTACATTTGAAACAAAATTAACAAAACAAGCTATAGTCTACTATTTTTTATTAATTTATAAAGAAAATTATTGTATAAATAAAAAGACTAAAAATTCAATTCTCTGGTTGATATTATTTAAGACAATTTTAGAATTTAAAACCTTAAGAATAAAATTAAGATTAAATAATTATAGTAATAAATTTTTCTATTATAAAATCATTAAGAATTCTAAAAGAAAATAGATTTTGATTTCTGTTTTTATACAAAACTATTTCTGAACATGAAAGCAAATTTGAACCATTCCTATGTCAATAATTATACATTGAAATATGAAAAAAAGTACAAAACTTCATATTTTTGATAAGATTACCAAATATATTTAATAACTCTTAGTTGTAAAAAGATATTATAAATTTAAAAAATACTGAATTAAAATAATTTTATCTCACTGAATAATTCTAGGCATAAAAATTTCCAGTTACACAAGTTTAATAAAATTCTCTGAGTTAATTTTAATAAATGCATTATTTAGAATATCAGACAGCAGTACTAATCACAATGATACCAATGTTGTATACATTCTTTTTTTGTTTTGTCACTTTAATTAAAAGTGCCAGTAGTTGAAGATTTACATAAATACATAAAGATAAGTATTTAATTTATCTTAAAAAATATAATTATTAAGTATTTAATTTAATTCTTTAACTCAAATAAATATGCTTGTTTGTTCTTATTATTTTTTACAGAATTTATGTATTTAAAATAATAAAATATAATTTCTTTAAAAATAATAATAAATATCTATATAAATTTAATTATGAGCAATTATTTATTGTGACATTGTCACAATGCTGACTGCAATTTTTAATCATATTTTAATTTAAATAATAAATATAAACTTTTGACACAATCTGAAGCTGTGATTACTTTTTCTTTATGATGGCTTTATTTTTCATGTGACTTTTTTCACAGAAAATGTGAAATCACATAAATATTGTACACCATGGAGGGTCGTGATATATTATTTATCAGTTTGTCATAAGGATCAATTCTATTCAAAATTTATTGCTCTACATAGTAAGTTAAAAATTTTTAATTGAAATCATGACTTTCAGTCCAGACTGGATGTTTGTGTATAATTAATTCGGCCTCCATCCCCTAAGCTTTCCATATCTGGTCTCAATTTTCATCTATCTAACACCATTCTCAAGATTAATGAAGGACAGATGGATTACAGTGGGAATTAAAAAATGACTAGCAATTAATATTATGAGGTCTCGAAAAGTTTTTGTTCAATTGAATGTTTTTCAGGATTGTTATATCCCATCTCCAGATCAATGAAACAGAACAAAAGTAGTTGTTAAGAGCTATTTGAAATTGAAATTAAACAATAAAAACCAATCAACAGTTTTGACAAAACTAATAAATACTTATATATGTATATTTACAAAAAATAAAAGGCAAATAAAAATACAATAAACAAAATTCAGAAAAACATCTGGACTTCTGATATTAATTGCTAGTAAGTTCTTTAATTTAATTTTTTTAAATAGAGTTATTTAATATGTACTGTACTTGTGCTTGTAATTTACCTTATTTTTGGAAAAATCTTTTTATATATCAATAGATTTTTAATATTTTAAAATTAATTGAAATTTGATGACCTGGACGCCCACTAAAATGACTCTAGACCCTGTTTAGTTGAGACTGAAATGCAATTCTAAATTTTTTAATTTGGTGAAAAATTTCTTAATATTAAAATAATAGATATTATAGAAATTATATAATAAAAATAAAAGCATAATAAAGATTATATTAATATAAAAATCTTAAGACATTAAATATTTAAGATTTTAATAAATATTTAATTTATATTAGAATACTTAAAAAATATTGTAATACTTTTCTCATGCAAGTAAAGTTTAAATATTGAATTTTAAATTCATCACTTAAAATATTTTATATGAAATTTGAATTAAAATGAAATTGTTCAATGTTGCAAAATTATTAGCAATTCTAAAAGGTAGCCATCAAAGTCGTTTCAATTATTCTAAGTCTATAGAATTATTCGCATTTTGATTGATGACTTGAACACTTACATTTAAAGTTTATGTTATAAATTTAAAATAGGATCTTATATGTTATATCATTAATATTTATGTTTTGTTTTAAAATAGGCCTTATAAATAAATTCAAGAGTATATTTGAAATTTTAAAAAAAATGAATTGAAGATACTAAAAAATAAAACATTTTAATTTTTTCTGATATTTTATAAATACTTTTAAATATATAAAAAAATATAAGAACATTTTGAGGTAGTTTTCTACATAAAATATAAAAAATTTCTTTAAAATAAAATAGTAAATGTATTATTATTAAGTTGAATTCAATGATTATTATTATTTTTTACTCTTTCTGCTCTGTGAGCATTAGGATCTTTTTTCTAAGGATGCACCGATAAGCAAAATGGCCGATTACCGATTAATCAGCCATGTATTATCGGCCGATACCGATTAATCGGCTGATTAGTGATAATAATTTATTGCATTAATAGTGTGAGATCCTGGAGTTAATTATACAGTTAATTGTAATGTGGAAAAAACCCATTTTTCTCCACCTGGTATTTCCATCTCCTTCGGGTCAGGACAAGAGACGATTGAATATCCTGGCAAAATCAACAATATCTTCCTTTGTTTTTAAATAAAAACAAAGGAAGATATTGTTCTCAACACTTAATTGTTGACGCATGGAAACTTCGACATTGCTTAAAAAGCTGAAGTGTTTCTGTGTTAACAGAAACAAAATATATTTCTTTAACTGCTGATATTTGGACAGCAACTACAAACAATTCTCTTTTTTTAAGTGTAACAGCCCACTGGTTGAAGGATGATTTTCAGCAGGAAAGAGCTGTTTTGCAAATTGTTTCCTTTGAAGGTTCCCACACAGCTACACGAATCAGTGAACAGTTAAAAATTGTTCTTGAACAGTATAAGTTGACAAGTGATAAGATATTCTTAGTACTAAGAGATTCTGCAGCAAATCTGGTAGCTGGAATTAGGAATTGCAACTTAGAAGCATTATCATGCTTTATACATACGCTGCAGCTGACACTAAACGAATGCATATTTTCTAAACAAGATGTGAAAACTATAATCACAGTTAATAGAAATATTGTCACACATTTTAATCATTCTGCTGTAGCTGTAATCAAATTGGAAGATTTGCAAGAAAAGTTAGGTTTGCAGAAACACAAATTAATTCAAGATGTTCCTACTCGCTGGAATTCTACATACTACATGTTGGAACAGCAAAAGGCCCTTGTCACATATGCTATAGATAATAAAATTCCTACGTTGAGCCCATATCAGTGGTCTCTCGTTGAAAAAATTGTTCTACTTGTAAAACCATTCAAAGAAATTACTGTGGAAAGCCAGCAAACGAGAAGCCACTTCATCTTCAATAATTCCCACAATAGAGACTCTGAAATTATTCTTATCAAAAGCAAAGATCAGTAGTTCCTTTAGTGGCATTAATACCACAACAGAAGAACTAGAAAATCCAAAAAAAAAAGATTTTCAGCATATATAGAAAACAAGTCTTTATGCTTGTCATTTTTATTAGATTCAAAATGAAATTTCAAAAATAAAATATGGTAGAGGAAATCTCAATAAGAATTAAATTCTGAAGCTTCTACTTCTGGAGGTGATCAAGATGGAGGTGAATTTCTAAGTTTTTCTGATTTATTTGATGAATTAGCTTCTGGTAAACAAAAGAATGAAGAATAGCATGTTTTTAAAAAGAAAGAAAAAACGAGACGAACAAACGTTTCGATCAAGAATTAGAAACATATTTACATTTATCCCTTAAACAAAGACATAGTGACATATTTTTGTGGTGGAAAAGTTCAAAAGAACTTTTTCCTAATTTGAGCAAAATAGCTATGAAATATTTAAGTGCCCCAGCATCTTCCATTGAAAGTGAAAAAATTTTCAGCACTGGAGGTAACATTTATGAGCTGGCAAAAAATAGGTTTTGCCCTGAAAATGATGAAATTCTCATGTTTTTGCATTACAATTTAAGGGTTTTACAGTTTAAATACTAAATTTTTATTTGTTTTATATGTTTAAAATTTAAACTTATAAAACAAATAAAAATTTAATTTTTCTTCTTAACCTATTCAATACTTTTTCTTATGTAAAGTTTAAACTTTATATTATACACGTTATATTATACTTATAATATGTATCGATAAAAGGAATAATTTGATTAGTAAATTTTTTTTAATATTCAGTTTGTCATGTAATAAATAATAAATATATAACAGAAATTTATTAGTTTTTACTACTAGCATTGTACGTAACATTCTAACAAAAATACCAAAATGTAAAATTGGCTGATTATCGAAACCGATTAATCGGGGAGAATGGCCGATACCGATTAATCGGCTAAGTGGCCGATACGGCCGATTACCGATTACTTACCAATTAATCAGTGCACCCTTACTTTTTTCCATACCCATCATGAGTTTGGCCAGACCCACAATAGGTGTAACCAGGTGGTGAAGAATGGGACCTGACATATCTAGGACATATCAGGTAAGCAACCCCAGGAATTTTTCATGGATGATCTGTCCCAGACAGACCATCTATGAAAAATTCCTGGGGTTTCTTACCTGAATTCAGTCGTGGGTTCTCCAGGATACCTGTTACATTACTTGCTTGGCCATCAGGCCATCAAATTAAATGAGTTAAATGCCAAAATTTAATATACATAAAACAATTTGTTACATAAAAATGACTGAGAAATATCAACTTTCATCATTAAAAGTAATTTTTAATAGGAACATAAATATTACCTGATGACTGACTATCATCAGAGGTTCTAATTTCTTCTGTAGTTTTGGCAATGTTAGGATTGCTACTACTAAGATTGTAAGAGTCTGAGTATGTCTAAAGGTTGATAAGAAATCAATTAGAAAATATTTTATGAATTAATATTATAAATTATATAAAAATTAAGCTATAAAATAAATCTTTTATATGTATTAATCTAATTATATAAAAATTTCAAAATTTATTAATAAATTAAGCAAAAAACTAATCTACTCATTGTTAATGAATTCATAGAATAAAAATATTTTTGTAAATTTTCCAGTCAGATTAATTTATTATCATACAAAATTCACTAATTATTTATAACTTCCCAGATAACATGAATTGGTTTAAAATTAATTTAAAAAATCAACATATTATATTAAAATAAACTTAATATATGCTGTATGGCTTGCTGTATGGTATATTTCAATGTAAATCCATCTCTGTAATCCAAAGGGACGAGGAAGGTTTGCCCTCCCACCCCTATTTTAAGCAAAACAAAAATTTGTAATTTACGTAATGATGAAACCACTGAGGAGGGGTTGGAGTACATTATACCAACCCAAAATGTACATGTAGTTCAATTGTAAATAAAAAACAATTTGCTAACCAGAAATTGTTGTGAGATACATCTACCAAAGGGTTTTTTTGGATTACAGAGACAGAATTACATTGTAAAATAAACTTTTCATTACACTTTTATGCTATTCTTTTTTGATTTTTTAATGGCACTAAAAAGTAATATTTAATAAAAGTAAATTAAATGTATAAAAATAAAATAAAAGATGGATAAACACATACTAAATTAAGTTTATATAGATTGTTTTTACATAAATACTAGTATAAAGGATTTTTAAATGCTATTGTTTTTGTGTAATTTAACTTTTTGTATTACAGATTTACAAAAAATAAACTCTGTTATGTTTCCAAATAACATTTTATTAATTCAGAACAGTGTATAAAATTTTTCTGAAAATTTCAATAACAACTATTGTTTTTGTTTTTTTAAAAGTAAAGTATTTAAAAATATAANTAACATTGTAAGCCTTTGATGATAAAAGTACTTTTTGCTATTTTTTTTTAGGCTTCATCAGTTATTTTAATACAATATGTATCTTGTAACTGATAAAGTCTCAAATAACATAAGAGAAGTCCTTTTAAAATCAAAAGCTTTTAATATTGTTTTGTATTTTACATTAAATTGCATTAGCTTACAACATCAAGATCATACATATTTGTATTACTGCTACATTAAAATACTGTAATGAAATCATGATGAATATGCTAAATAAAAAATAAATGTTTTTTACAATGCATAATTTTAAATAATAAATAGTCATAAAGCATAATATTAAAATGTTTACCTTGTCTAATTTATTAATTTACTTTTCATACAATAAAAAAAATCATATGTTATTTACTCATATATTTATATTTCAATAATGCTTCAAATTTAAAGTTTTTATTTTGTATTCTGAATCAATAAACTAAACAAATATATTTAATATATTTTTTAATAATATTCAGCATAATTACGCATGACACAACATGTTAAATATCTAACTGTTTTTATTAGTATATTGTGCAATAAGATTTTCTATTTTTTCCCTTTAACTAAAAATTAGTTTACTTCTTCATAAAAGTATAGTTTTTGTCTTAACTACAATTAATAATATTAGATTGTTTACAATAAATTTCTTGTTAAATTTTTATTTATTAATTTTATAACATAGTGTTAAATGTTAAAAAAGATTTAAAAAATTTAGATGATAACAATCTGAAAAATTGCATTAATAAGTTGCATGTTTAATGTTCTGTTGAATGAAACTATTTACTAATTATTAATTTCAAATAATAATACCATTGTCAACCGAGTATAACCCACTACACCCAACATGATATAGGAATTGAATGATCTTGGCATTACTGTTTAATTTTATTTATTGTACATTGACTATACAGTAAATTTTGAATAATTTTTTCTCAACTGAATGAATCAAACATTTCATATCTCATATTAAACATGAATATGAGTATGTATTGGCATCCCTCTAATACTCTATATGCTTTATTTTAAATAAATTTCAATTATTCTGCAATTGATGACAGAATGGATTCTCAGTTATATTGTGATATTTTAATGGATGTCTTGGTTGGTACATTACAGTTGTATAAATTAAAACCGAAAAATATTATTTTCATCGTGAAATTTTTTTAAATGTAAGAGCTCTTTGAATGATACTATTATTTAATACTAAGTAATAGGATATAAAACTGAACTGCAAGTTCAGTTATTTAAATTTGTTAGATTGTTTAAAACAACTTTGCAAAAAAAAATGTTGCCTTTTACCCCATTAATTGTAAAATTAAAGTTTTAAGTTGCCGTTTCTTTTCACCCCTCCCAATGGAGTGAAAAGAAACATCAAGTAAAAACTGGAAAATTTGATCACTTTGTATATCACCTACTGAAATTGTTGAGGAGGATAAAACCGTTTTATAAGATTACTGATGAGGTCATATCGTTAATGTTACCGAAGTTACGTAATCATTTAAACAGTGAGATATTTCTATTCATCCCAAAATATTGTAACAAATAAATAAAACAGAAATTATTACAAAAAATTAAGGATTTTTAGATCAGTTAATAATGTCCATATGTGTACACTTTATTTTTATTCTATATCTAAATGGCATAATTTTTTTTTTATTACTTTCATGTTTTTAAGATCAAAATAGTCAAAGCAGTAGCTTCTATACTTTTATCATTATTTCTCTTGAACATCTTTTGTAAGTATTTTATGAAACATTTGCAATCCATACCACTCAAAATTAAAATTTTCAAATTGAAATTGGATTTTAAAATTAAGAAAATAAACTAAATCTTAAAGATTTAAATAAATATGATTATTCATTAATTCTATTTAAATAAATATTGATAATTAAAATTGTGATATATTAAAGTCACTTTTATTTGAAAATACAAAAAAAAATAAATATTGAACACTTCTTGGTTAACTTTAACTCTAGCTCTTGATTGTGAATACAGACAATAGTATTTCATTTAATTCATACACTATTATTTAAACGCATAATTTCATTCTAATGAACATCTGAATTCAAAGAGGAAGCTAAGAATTTTAAAAATAAAAATATTTATGATTAATCTTGCTACACTTATTAAATAATTTTTGAAAAAATAATTCACAAATATAAGCAGTGCTGAGATATATTCTAAAACAAATGTCTATACAATATACATAAAAATTTGTCTTGTGTCATTAAATGAGTTTAATAAAGTGCAAAAAATACTTCATTGTTAAATAATTAAAATCTAACAATAAATTTTAATATTTATAGTTCAAATTTAAATTAAGAGATATGTAAAACTTTTACAATATGATTTTATTTCAATAATGGCTAAATAAATTAATAAGATAATGAAATACTCTAATAATATTTCATTACAATTTGTAAAACATAAAAACATATCAAAGAGCATTAATTAAATTCCAGTGAGATTTAATTTGAAATAAAACTTTTGAACTAATTCCAGTCTCCCAATTTTGTTTGATTGATTGATTGATTGAACTAATTCCAGTCTCCCAATTGGTGTTGTAACTCCATTAATATAAATAATTCATATACTACAAAAGGAATATAAATTTTTAAAATATGAGTTAACCACAATAGTATTTATAAACACAATATAGTAGTATTTTCAGAAAATACTACTAACGAGCAATTATTTATTGTAACATTGTTACATTGCTGGGCTGCAGTTTTTAATCATAATTTTAATTTATTTAACATAAAATATATTCTTTCTATCTCAAATTAGTACTGTCTTGTCTGTATATCAAACTTTCCTGCTAGCAATAGAGTTGTGCCAGTCATCTATCTAAAACCTTTCTAGGAAAAATTTTTGAATTGAAATAACATGACTTCCAGTTTGCATTGGAAGTTCATATACAGTTAATCAGAGCCTCCTGTCCCTAAGGTTTCCATATATGGTCTTGACTTTCATCTATCTAACTCCATTCTTGACATTAAGGAAAGACAGATGAATGGATGACAGTGGGAATTTATTGTTCTACAATTTTTTTAAATTGCAGCCCAATAATAATATAACTAAATATATATACAGTAAACAACAACTCTATAACCTGAATTTTAATTAATCACANTATAAAAGTCTGATGATAATCTTACCACATTAATTTTAAGGCATGTTTCACATTTTAATGATTTATTAGGCATAATTTTAATTTATGAGAATTTTGATAATTATTGGCAGTGCCTGAAAAATACATAAAAATATATTGATAAAAAATGAAACAAATAGAGCTATTTAATTAATAAAATCATTTAAATGTGTGACTTTACATTTAAAAAAAATTACATAAAAATCTAATGAATTTACTGTTTTCTAATTTTACACTTTCAAAATGTTAAAAATATAGCTGAAAAATAATTATCATACTATATTAATGAACAAAAGTAGCAATAATTTATAAAAATATTTTAATTAAAATTATAAATAAAAATTTTTTGAGAGTAGATTTTTCATATTGAGGAAGAGGATCATAAATTATTTTATGGAAAAGAGCCAAATAATCCATTGATTTTGATGAATAATTATTCTTAAACGATATAATAAAGAATTTTTCTTTATCAAATTTCAATAGTATTTTCAATAAAATCGTCTTACAATATTAAATACTAAAAGACCTACTACAAGTAAATTGAATTTCTTTTATAATTATATTTAACAATCAGAATATAACTAAAACTATTAAAATTTGAAATATAGTTTCAAAGTGAAGAATAAGTACACCTGTCTTATATGAATAGCTATATCCTTGACCCAAATTTGATTGCTACAATGTAAAGTCAATTATGCAAACAAAGTCTCTGATATCATACTAAAAATAAATTACATGCAATAAAAGTCAACAGTCTGATAGTTGACTGATACATATCATATCAACTAAATAGCAAGATGTTCAATATTCATTTGCCTACAGAATATTAACAAGCTAAGAAAATTTACTAATCGAATATTTTAGTTCTTTTTCAAATTATGCAAATTAACTGAATTACAGAATTCCCAAATCAGAATTGTTCAAGTACCTACTTAATGGAAAATTTTATTTTCTTCAATAATAAATAAATAATTCTTAAATTATTTATTAAATCAGCTTTGAATAACTTATAACAAAATTATATTTTTAAAATTTCAATTTATTATCAAATGAATTTTAATATTAAAATATTAAAGGTGTTGTAAATTAAAAATTCATAACCTTTGAGTGAATATTCAATTCAAATAATTAAAAAATTTTAGTTTATAAAATTATACAGTTTAAATTTCTTAATGAAATATGCTTCTTTTATAAAGTTTATATAATATGAAGTTCATTATTGCAACTAATCAAATGATTGACATAAATGATTGAAATAAGTGGCATAATGATTGAATTGGCATTATAACAATCATTTGATTTGTTTAAATGCCTCAATATTCCTCATTAAGCATACACATGATGACTGTTATATATAAATATCATAGCAATAATGTAGTTTTTGCTTGCTATAATTTTATTCATAGAATTATTCAACTATATATTGCATATAAAAAGACTTTAGTTCTCTTTGTTAGAAAGATAAATTTTTTCCCTGAAAGGCAATGCTAACTTAAATATATTTAACTTAATTGATAGATTCTTTCATACCAAAAGGCACTCCAATATATAAAAATAATAATTAAAAATAAAAATCAAATTAAAAGTTTTCTATGCTTTCATATTTTTTAATTATTCGTAATTACATCATACATATTCATAATTATTTTATTTTCATTATCAAAAAGAGTGCATTGTTTCTTGTTAGTAATGCTTGAAATTTATTTTCTATTATTTTTTAATCTAAAACCTTTCAGAACAATAAAAAATGTCTGAATTAATTGTGATTGTAATTAGACTCATTTTAAATTTGAAAGAAATTGGTTTTCATGTATTTTAAATATGTATATAGATGTGAAAACAAACTTATAACTATCAATAGAATCATTTTTAGTTGTAAATTGTGATACACGTAAATTTNAATTATTTTATTGTGACATTGTCAAAATGCCGGGCTGCAATTTTTAATCATATTTTTAATTTATATAATTTAAAATATATGCTCTTCACCTCAAACTAGTAGTGATTTGCCCCTGTACATCATACTTTTCC